ACATCTGTTTGTTATGAATAAGGCTACAGCCAGCGGCCAGTTAGCTTAGCTTAGCATAAAGACTGGAAACAGGAGGAGACAGTTAGCCTACCAGCACCTCTGAATCTCATTAATTAACACCTTATATATGGTTTGTTTAATCTGTACGAAAAAGTTTCATGTGTGGGACTATTTTTTGGCTTTCTAGCTAGCATCCAGCTAGCATCGGTACAGTTGATATATTGTCTGTTTTAAGGCAAATACACATTATGCACAAATGGTACGGCGTTCAAAACGGTGTGACAAAAAAAAAAAAAAAAAAGGTGCAAGAGTATTTGCTTCACTTTGTGTTAATAACTGAACTTTAGCTGCACTGGTAGACACATTTTGTTGCCTTTGGACGGAGCCACACCAGCTGCTTCCCAGTTTCCAGTCCTTGTGCAAAGCTGCACGAACTGGCCGCAGCGTCACATCTTACAGACAGATATGAGAGTGGTATCAATCTTTTTGTTTAACTCTCGTAACTCTCGAAACTGAATAAGCATATTGCTCACAATGTCAATACGTCCGTTGCTTTTGGTTTATATGCAGCTGATTTCCAAAGGTACTTCCTTGAAAGCACTGCTATATTTACCCCTCTGAGGTCTAAAGGCATTTCCTCCATTTCTACATTATTTCTAAAATACACTTTTTAAAGGGCACTTGCAAATAACATAATACCCAACTGTTTTATATCACAATTTTCAGAGCAATCTCAGCTCTTTCTATAATGAAGCCCCTCACTGTGCAAAGAGATAATTTGGCGTAAATGCTGAAAAATTGAAGCCTGGTTTTTGAAATTCTTCAAATATTTTGTGAAAACAAACATTTACTGATGTTGATGAATTGTTTTAGTGCTTGAAATGGATTCACCAAAGTCTATAGGTTCATTAAATTATTGTAATATATGAGTAAAATAGCAGATAAATGAATAATAAAAGCCTAAAGTGAAAGTCATGATGTTGTCTGTCACTCTACTTAAACCAAATTTTAGAGGCTATGAGTCACGTGTGATTTCGCAAGAATATGTAAGGGAAAGTGGAGAGACTACAGATCTAAAAACATTTAAACCATATTTTTACACTGTACTATTGCAAAGATATTAATACAAACATCCATCGACCTCAGAGGGCTAAACATGAAAAATCCAACTAGTTAAAGAAAATTTGTGTCTACATTTCTGTAGTTGGGGGGGGGGGGCACTACAACACATTACCTCCGTACTTTTAAAATCCTGGCTACTGCCTTGTTTAAATGCTTTATAAAAACTGTGATGTGGCTTCGTGATGTCTCACTGTGAGTGTTTTTTTTTTGTTTTTTTTCACCACCACCACCAAACCAAACAACTCGCCGCCTTCCCTCCTGCATCTCCTCCTCACCTGAGTCCAGAAGAAGGAGATCCTGGGCTGTGAGCAGCCAGGCCATGAGGGTTAGAAAAGTGCTGTAGCTCCTCCTCTGACACATAACAGCACATAAAACACACAACCACAGGAACATCACTTCACGGCTCAACAGTCAAAATCCACAGTCAAAAATACAGCGCATACTCAGGTTACTCAGAGAGCGACAAGCAGACTGAATAACATTTAAAAGAATAAGGGGACAACAACGATAGATACACCGATGGCATCGTGTATTAGCTGAACTCAGCACTGCATCTAGCTTTGCCGCAAGAATGTAAACACTACTACAAGTGTGCAACAGGTTTCCAATAGATATTAAAGCATGTGTTACCGTCTAGTGTTTCTTTCTCAGAATCAGAGTCCCAGCTTAGGGAGGAAGGAAAGGCTGAGGACCTGAATCTCCTCTGTGCGTTCTTCCCCGGGTCCGCACTGGGCTGAGTGCCCTCAGTCTGCGAGGAGCCCTCATCTCCAGTGTGGCCCCACGAGCATTTGGCAGACATCAGGCCGTCTCTCACATTTGGAGAACATGAGGACTGGAGGCGGCGAATGAAAACCGTTTACAATCTTACCTTGGGACGGAGAAATGAGAGAATAATGATGACGCTTTGATGGTGTCTTTTACCTGTAAGGTGCAGCTGAGGAAGGTTTGTGCTGAGTTGAAGGGTGGGGGCCCATAACTGGTCCCTGGGGTTAGCGGTCCCTCTGGCTCCATGGTCCCCCAGAGAGCAGTATGGAGTCCCACTGGTGACCAGCCTGCCTACATTGTGCAGCCTCCTCTTCCTCTGGAAACATTCACACATGAGCACACACTGAACAAAACAAAACAAAAAAAATAAAAGTTTTCAAGGGTTTTAAAGTTACTGCCAATATTTACTGAAGTAATTTGCACAGAAAATGAGATTTCAAACAGTCAGCTCATTGTAAGAAAGAATTTTTAAAAAGCATGTCAGACAGTATGAAAGTGTAAAATCTGCAGAGTCTGTCGTGTTTCGCCTGCCCTCAGTATTTTTTTCCTTTTTTTTTTTTGCCTGCTGCAGTTTTCAGATTGTCTGACCTATTTTCACAATATGTCTGGTCTTAAAGAATGAAGTGGGGCGCCCAAATGGTTACATAAATAAGTGGCCTTTATATTCAGGCCCATATCCTCTCCTGCTGCCCCTCTAAAAAGCAGGAAAATGTCCGGGTACATCAAGGTGTCCCACGGGTTGGCCTCTGTTGCTTCAGAGGACGTGTCTGACATCGATCCAGTCGCTGTCAGGTGAAAATAAAAACAATGCATCCATGCACAATGCCTTTTAGAAAACCACAAACGCCCATAAACTGTTCTTTTTTCTTTTTCTTTTTTTTTTTAGTGCAAATACTCACTGAAATCGGCCTGGGTTTTTTTTGCGGATCGCAGTGGAAGGGCTGGCTCTTCAAGCACCATTCGCCATAGTTTGAGGACGGAGCTGAAGCTTTACGCCCCGAGACGATGCTCGTACGAGGGGTTGACTGCTCCCATGGAGAAACTTGCTCTTTTAATCGCTGCTCAGGTTTTTGCATGGATCCTTTGGAGATGCCAGGCAGAGGACTCCATGTTATTTGGCTTGCAGGCACGCCACGGCTGCGTACGTAACGTCGACGGGGAGGGTGACGAGAAGAGTTTCGAGTAACCCAGCGGGGCTAAGTTTATTAAGTTGAACTTTTATGAGAGCTTTGTTTATTTCCTTTATTTCTATAATGAAATGTTTATCGATGCGAAAAGCTTTTTTGTTCTGACGGATACGTTAATGACACTCTGAAAAATTACAATATTAAACACTGATCACGTGTCGCACCGATAATGTTTATTAATACCGCGGATTATTTTATCCACACAGGTACAACATTAACTGTCATTTGTGCCTTTTTAGATTCCGTTGGTAGCATCTGTTTATCCTACATATTAACTGCCGTGGTAAATGACATGTGTACAAAACATATTACAGATTTACCTCTCAGTGTGGTTTTAATTACAGGTGTATTGAGTTTGTCAATTTGTTTGTCTCACAAAATTCCCTAAATGCCGAAAATCAATAATCGCCTTACTACTGATTATTACATGGTCGTCTGGCGCCCCCCACTGGTCACAGATGGGACAACACGTTTGTATCGTTAAGGCCATTAAAACTAAAATTACTAAAATATTCAGACCTTTAATTCAGCACTTTGTAGAAGAGGCTTCTTGGGGAAATCTCTACAAGCTTTGCAGACAGATTCAATCAGTCAGATTGGATCGGAAGAGTCTGTGAACTCCTATTTTTCAGGTCTCTGACTGTATGAAGTCCCTTCATTACTCAGTCTGACCAGAGGGCCAACTCTAGGAAGAGTCAGGGCCGGGTTCACAAAGACATGCTTTGACTTTGTCTTAGATATAACAAATAGTCAGACATTTAAATTCATCTGTTGCACAAAGCAGTTTAGTTCTTGACTACCTTAGGGCGGATTTATGGTACAATGAATTCTGGGTAAATTGTCTTTTGGAGGAATTCAACAATAACAAGGACGTTTTACTTGGGAAATTCAGCAAAGAGTGAAACATTAAAAATAAAAAAAAAATGATTTTGGTCTCTAAAAACTCTCTCCCTTCTCTTTGCTCTCTCCATAACAATGTCAGCAAACTACTAATTATGAGCCATGTTTTCCTGTTTTTTGTTGTTGGGTGCACAGGTTACCATGTTACCAAGGTAACAGTGGTCGCAGGCCCTGAGTTAGCCTGGGGGTAAGGTGTCTAATTTATGTTTTAAAATGAGTCAGTCTTTATATTTGTGAAACAGTCTGACTTACATTAGACTGAAGTATGTCTGTGAAACTGGCGGTTGCCCAGGTCGCGGTGATCGTGGGAGCACTCAAAGCTTTAGATGCGGTTTCATAACTTTGCCCTGGTCTAAGCCCGACAACTATTTTATCACAGAGAATTCAATGTGCTTCATGTTTTGGTTTTTGTCCTGACACGCAGGTTGCATTGTGGGACCTTATAAACACAGGTGTGTCTTTCTGAACCATATCCGATCAATTCACTTCGCCACAGGTGGAGCCCAGTCAAAGATAATTAAAGCAAACAGGAAGCACCTGGAGCCACAGCAAAGGGTCTGAATACTTTTGTAAATGAAAGATTTCAGTTTTTGATTTTTAATAAATTTGAAAAAAAAAAAATTCTAAAAACATGTTTTCACTTTCAGGAGTGTAGACTGAAAATGGCAAATTTATCCCTTTAAAAATTAAATGTAAAACACGATATAATGTGCAAAAAAATGAAGGGGTCTGAGTATTTCCTGAAGTCAGTGTGTATCATATTATTGGATTTGAATTATTGATGTGTTAATGTATACAGGACTTAAATGTTGCAGCTGGTAAAGTTGCATCTAATTTAAATTCTTTATGCACTGCTGGGCAGCTTCTGGATTCCCCCCCCAGGGATCAATACAGTCTTATTTTATCCTCTAATAATACATCATAATCTATTTGTTGATTATATTTTGTATTATTAATCTGAATCTAGTATAAAGAAGAAATATAATGTAGCAGAAGTGTAATGTAGTAATGGTAGTAATCCCACACTATAATAATAACACTTTATTAAAAAATAAAGGTTCTGTATTTAAAATTTTACTCATGTACAGAAGGTTAATCAGCAAAGTGCTTCAAGGATCAGGTGTCACATTAAAAACATATTTATGGTTTGAAGTTTAGGTCATCCAAAGCTCTTCATCTTGTCACGCAGATAATCACTTCTTGACCTCCTATAAGAAAGCAAAAAAGATAGATGTTATTATCCTGTAACTTCTCATTTTTTCTCAGTAAAATGTTTTAAAAATTTAAATATTCGCTTCTGAACATTTATTTCACATCAAACATGTTGTTTTTGCAGACTTTAACTCAGTGGTGGGAAAAACAGAAAACAAAAAAAAAAGTGCCACTACAAATACCAAGGTGTTCTCTCGATTGTTAAATCGTCAGACATGCCCTGAACGTCTCAACATGTCCAAATAGGAGGATTAAAACCCACATAATGAGGGAAGCTGCACCCTGATGAAAGAAGGCTGCAGAGTCTTGCATACTTTGTGTGACATGCCAAGGCAATCAGCACATTAAAGGCTAAACCACTTCTATTTCTCTCTGGATACAGTAAATAATAATGTATATAACAGCTGTTGTGTGTTGTATGTGTCATACCCCAAAGTGTCCCCAGCCTTTGATCTCATTATAGAGAGCATCTCCGGGACAGGAAGTGTTCACCACCTGTCTGTGGCCGTGCAGGGTGAAGTCAGCTACCAGCCGCCCACCGCCGACAGCGCAAGACGCCAGCTGATCCCTCACCAGCCTCATGGAATGCCGGGAGGGCAGACCGGCGACGTAGTCTCCGATGAAGGAAACGCCGTAGCCTATGGAGTTGTGCCCGAGGGTGTGTGCTCCTCGCCAGTGCCAGCCCCGGCCCTCGTAGATGTGACCGTCGGAGCCTGCGACAAAGCTGTAGGAGCACAGAGGATATTGAGACTGTGTAAGTTAGTTAGGTGCAAAAATTTCACGCCCGCACATGGAGGCCCTGAAGTCTGACTGACCTGTATCCTATGTCGTCCCAGCCTCTGTCGTCCTGGTGGAAGCGCTGCATGGAGCGCATGTCTGCAGAGCACTGCTGGAAGGTGAGACAGGGCTGGCTCGGTGTGTGAGTGTGGTGGATGTACATGAAGGACAGAGGCAGAGACAGGTTGGTGGGTGTCCCTCTGTACGGCTCTGCACCCCACATACAGCGAGGTATGATTGGGGGGCAATCTGAAACAGATGTGTAACCAGAGCTGGTTAGTAGCTGGTTACATGTAACTGGACTTAAGTTAAGGGATAAGTGATCAGTGTTTTCTCAGCTGTTTTCTTTCACATCCTCTGTGGTTTGGTCTCATGCTCACCCATGTACTTATGGACAAACTCTTTAATTCCCTCCTTCACTGCAGCCATCAGCTGTTTCCTGTCCTTCACCTCCATCTTTGATCGCCCCTTCAGAGTCCGCTGCAGCTCTACTGACTTCATCACCTGTCTGGCCAGCAATGGAGGGACGACCAGGGCTCTGAAGTTCTCCCTGCGACGTCGGCTGATGAGGCGCGGGGCGGCGTCCAGTCCTCCGTTGTCCAGCTGGTGGCAGTAGTACTCTGCCAGCAGACTGCTGAGCTTGAGAGGACGTCTGGTTTTGGCAGAGACCTCCATCCCTATAACGGAGCCATCCATGCCTCCGTTGACCTGAGCGGTGGTGAGCATCGCGGGGGGGTCCGAGAGGGTGAAGACTCGAGGAGAGGTTAAGCTGTCCCAGCAGCCGTCAGGTCCCAGACGCTGGGCGAGAGGAGAGCTGCGCCTGAGAGGACGGCTGAGGTCTTTGGCCAGAGTGAGCTGGTACAGACCCCTGACACGCCCATTAGACTTGGAGAGGAAACCAGCCTCGATGCCCAGGAGGAGCGGCACGAGGGCCACGGTGGTGCCATCAGAGGTCAGAACCACACCTTCCTCTCTGCCATCATCAGTCACCCTGTGCCGCACAGCCTTGCTGATGTAATCCGAGAGGCCGGCGTCCATGTCGGGACCACTGGGGTCGACGCGGCCGAGGAAGTGCTGAATGAATGCATCGTCTAGGCCAGCTGCCCGGCGCAGCCTCTTCAACACGGCTACTGGCTCTGCCCCAGGGTCCCCATCCTCCACCTGCTTCACCGCCCTGATGAAGTCATCCATGTGGCGGGAAAATGAAGCTGGAGACAGAAAACACACTCTGTCATTCACATGAAAACCCATCTCTCCTACCCTACACACACTCTGATTATATCCATAAACACACACACACACACACACTGTGGTCAATAGTGAGTGGAGCTAAGTAGCAAGAGCCCCAACATGGGGAGGGGCCACACAACGCCTCCCATTAAAGGTTTATTTTTATCAGTAACTTTGAACATTTATGTAAAATTATGTTCATCAGTAAAAGAACTAGAAGTGTGATTGTAATACAGATTACATCAGTGTTTTGCAATAGTTCAGTAATAGCACATAATGTGGCTAGATCGTTAGCTTGCTGATGATCAGAATCAGAAAAATCTTTAATGATCCGTGCACAACACGCAGTTAGAAAAGAGGAAGTTGAAAGTAAAAACTACTTGATGATAATGATAGTGATAATGATAAATACACAGTAAGTGAACAGAAAAATGTACAAACAACGTGAAGTAGCTTCGCCTTCAGTTTCAGAAACAGCCACAGAGAGTGAATCAGCAGCAGCTCCATCATCACTATGATCTCAGATTACTGAAGGTGTCAGACAAGCTGTGTTTTGATCGGTTTTACTGCTGTGCTTTTATTTATAACATGTTGCAACATATTGGGCTAGCACTCGTTGGAAGATAATCCACCTTAATTCTGTAAATAGAAATAATGCTCTAATGCCTCGTGTGTGTAGAGATTGTGCAATTTCTTGAATTTGTTATAAACACCTAATTACTGATTAAAACTAATAACCACATGTATTTGTTTTTTGACTCAGTTATTTGTTCAGGCATGACAATATCAAAAGTTAACTGAGGCTGTATATATACACGCCTCAGATTTTTGTGCTACTCGGCCTATAGTATGAAAAAAAGCAGATATTTTATCTATTGTTTATGATCAAAAGAATAAAAAATAAAAAAAACTAAAAAGAGTCGAATTTGCCAAGTAGTTACACAATTACAAATCTCAACTGAAAATTTATCTGGCTAATAGTCAGAAAAAAAAGCATAAGTGTACTGAAATTGGCTTTTGACACAGTCTGAGTTGCTGCCTTTTTATTGCTTAACTGTTGGTGTTTTTACACACATCTTTTTTATACTTTTAATGTGAGATTTTTTACTTGTGTTTTATGCCTTTTTTATATTTATTGTTATTGTACAGCAATTTGGTCAACAGTGTTGTTTAAAAAAATAAAATTGGATTGGAAAATGAATACAGTTCCTTGATCTGAAAAGTGCAAACAAATGCTCTTACCTTCTGTGTGTGTGCTGGCCAAGACCACAACGAGGGCCAGGGTCAGTCTCCAGCAGCCTTTCTTCATCCTGAGCCTCCAACACCTTCAGCTCCAAATGTCTGTTACTGTGTCACCTCTCTCCCATTTATAGAGTCGTTCACGTGCAGATTAGGGGTGGGTGCTTATGTAACAGCTGTACACATACTGTAGATACGTGTGCATTTAATCAGTTGGTGTGGCCGACTGAGCAATGTGGGAAACTGGCACCTGTGGTGTGGACAGTGTAAATCCATGAGTCCTTTCCTGCTAAAGGTTTTCCTGTGTGCCTCACAAAATCGTCGATGTGACCGACCCGGACATTTTTGAGAAATTCACAAGTTCTGTAATAAATTTCAGTCTTCTCGTTTGTGTCGTTAATGGAGCTGCTACTTGTGAAACGTACTTTCTGGGAATATTATCAGCCAGCAGCAAGCTCTGCATTATTGTACAAATCATAGGCACTCCTCTCTGAGGCAATACGCCGGCTCTTGTTAATGTCCAGAAAACACAAAGTCAGGCTGCAACATTGAGGAACTCCCAAAACCAATGAATCACATGTGCTGTGTGGCAGTGACAGAAAGATATCTGATTTATTGATTATTGATGAGCTGCTGGTTTATATGTGCACACAGACATTGGTGAAAGATCCACTGCAGTTATGTGTTCACAAACTGTTGAGGTTATAACTCACAGACCGGTGGTTACAGCAGTCACATGAAGACAAGAACAGGAAGTGGATGTAGTCTATGGGTGCGCTGGAAAGTACATTGCAGAACATCTTAGATGCAAATTAAGGTTAAAGTTAAAGTTGTAAATCTGGCATTATTGTAATATGGATTTCTATAAGGAAGAAGGAGAGAGAGAAGGTCACGCTCACAAAACTAAAACAGGAACATACAAAAATCAAAATCTCTGCAGTTTTTGAGGCTGGCGTGCAGATGACTGAGAGGAAAATTGCAGATTGAAACTAAACTCAAAGAAACCTTTTTTCACGGCAGATGTTTGTTTTTTTTCCTCATCAAATACAAGTATAACTAATTACAATAATAACAGATTGCTGGAACTGAGCCATGTTACAGGTTTCACCTTTGCTTTTCCTGCCCAGACAAGTCACTGTGTTTACAACAGGTCTGATTCATATACAAACAAAGAAACGGTGCTATGATGTTAGCAAAGCGTGTTCTAGATTAGATCTATTCAAAAAGAGAAATGGCGTGTAAAGAAGACAAGACAGACGGGGGAAAAAAAGTCAGTCATTCAGCACATCAGTCGAATCCAAAATATGTGTTGCTCCCAAGTTTACTGTCAGTGTGGGAAGTTTAACTTGTATTTTTCATTTGCACAACAGAAACTCAAAATAAAAATGCTGTTCATATTCAATCCATGTACTGTACTATGCATATGTAGGCTATTATTCTGTGTATATTAATTGTATAAGACAATCTAGTTTACGGTGACCTTTTGACATGATACTTTGAAATGATGCTGTAGGATTAATATTTTTCTGATGACCTATGGACACTGTCCTTGTCTAGTAAACAACAATATAAATGAATAAAAATAAAATGTAGGTACAGTAGACTACTGTAAGTAATTATATGTATGAGCCAAGAATGGAGCTTGTGATAATAGACAAATCATATGAGAAAAGCAAAATTTTTCAGGTTTTCTGTATTCAAGTCTATTGTCTATTGTAACTACCTCCCCGGTACAGTAGGTGGCGGTATACAGTTTGAATTGTGTAGTGATCAAACAACAGAGGCGGAAGTTGAAGAAGAAGAAGAAGAAGAAGAAGGAAAACTGAACATAATCTGATCTACTTGTAACCAAGGTTCGTTTATGTATAAAGACCTCACTTATAGAAATGATGATAACTGATATCACATATTGTCTACTTTGTATTTGTGATTTTATATCGTGTAGTATTCATGTCTCCGCTCCTGGCAGGGCTCGCTGCTTGACAGGAAGTATCAGCTAGCATCTGTGGCTAGCTAGCTAACAGCCAGTGGTCAGCAGCTGTTTCTCGGGGTTGAACGGCTCAAACTGGGCAGTATTGTAAACACTGCGGTTATAACAGCCAATCCCGTGTGTTGATAAAAGCTATCAGAAATGTGTAATTTGTATTTGTACTGCGTGGTTTGGATATAGGGAGATCTGGCCAAGCGGAGTCTGTCGATAAGAAGTAGCTACAAATTTGTCCTTAATCTGTGATGGAGGAGACCTCACCTTGGAGGCCGTGGTGTGGAAGTGGCATTATTGTACCCTAATGTCATTTTATGTCATTATTGGTAATGACTCGCATTATTAATGGTAGGCAATTAGCCCCCGTTTGTGCCTCTAATGTGTTTCCATTATAGCACATTTGAGTTACGGAGCTAAGCAGCTTTTCTAAAAATAAAAAAAATGTTCTGTGATCTGTGATAAAATAAACCCAGAAGGTCGTGATTTCTGTATGAAGCAACATGATGGATGTGAGTCACATGTGCTTCCGTCCCCACCTACTGGTTTATTTACATTATGGGTAATGTGGCAAGGTTAAACCCCCAACACTGCATTACTTTTAACTAAGAATTATAACTGTTACTTTTAGCAAAGTAATTAAAAATATTTATCTAACTTTCAGATAAGTGTTTCACCTGTTTGTAGTGAAATTTTAGGTAATTATTTCAATCCTGTGTCCATTACTTTTGGCTAATTATTTTAAACTGTTGAATAATTTACCCATTACTTATACTTAACTATTATGAGTGCTATCTTGCTAACTAGTTTGCATGCCTCAATGTCTCCTTTACCAATTTGTAATTTTACAGTCAATATTTATGTTCAATTTCCCACTTTCCTCTTTAAAAAAAAAAAAAAAAAAAAAAAAAAAACAGTGTTTGTGTTTGTGTGTGTGTTTTTTCACCTCCTCGTGTGTCATTGGATAATAACCTGCGACTGTCATCACTCTTCGACAGAAAATGGACACGAGGTTCACTCGAGGGAAATCCAGCATCTTGGAGCGGTCCCTGACCCGACCCAAGACTGAGGTCAGCGTGAGTGCCTTTGCCCTGCTGTTCTCAGAGATGGTCCAGTACTGTCAGAGCCGTGTGTACTCTGTGTCAGAGCTGCAGACACGCCTGGCCGACATGGGCCAGAGCGTAGGAGCCAGCATGCTGGATGTGCTGGTGCTGAGAGAGAAGAACGGGAAGAGGGAGACCAAAGTCCTGAACATGCTGCTCTTCATCAAAGTAGGCAAATGTCAAATACTGATGTTATTTATAGGGTACAATAACTTTGTACTTTAGACTCTGTTTTCTTTCCTTTTAGGTTAACGTGTGGAAGTCTTTATTTGGGAAGGAGGCTGACAAGCTGGAGCAGGCCAACGATGACGACAAGACTTATTACATCATAGAAAAGGAGCCGCTTATCAACGCGTACATCTCTGTTCCCAAAGAGAACAGCAGCTTGAACTGTGCTGCCTTTACTGCTGGCATCGTGGAAGCCATCCTCACACACAGTGGCTTCCCTGCCAAGGTCACTGCCCACTGGCACAAAGGCACTACACTCATGATAAAGTTTAATGAGTCGGTCATTGCCAGGGACAAGGCTTTGGATGGCAGATAAATAAGACTGGGGAGAGTGGCTGGTTATGTTAATCAATACAGGATGATGGTAAATCATCCAGGTCCAGGCTTGTGTTTGTTCCTGAAGTGTGGGTGACTGACTGAATTTCCTTGTGGTAACTGATGAGATAGCAACTTCATGAATGGATGAATGGATAACTACAACGTACTGAGCCACATCTAGAGCTGAAAAGGTGCAGCTAACTGGTTCAATCCCCAGGGTTTTGTGGATCATCTCACTTGTGTTGTACCTCATGAAGGGACACAAACTTGTTTGCCGTAGATCACTTAAAATTTGTAGCTTCATGTCACATTTTTACATCACAGATCATTCAGAAAAGATAAATATGTTGAATAATAAATTGATCACATTGTTTTGTAATATTAGAGACTAAACAATGAATCAATTAATCAAAAAAGAAAACATATTACTTGAAAATGAAAGTAATTGTTAGTTGCAGCAAATGCCTGAAAGGGTAGCCATGAAACTGAGTAACAAAAAAAAAAAAAAAAAAAAAAAAAAACACTGAATGGTGGCTAATTATTTTCCCTGGTGTCTATGTTAACAAAAAGTACTGTAACAATCTCTTTACTTATTTATTTTACAGATAGATGTCCAGACTAATTTTTTTTTTCTTTATCTCATCCCAGTTAAATCTCCTTAAAATAGATTCAGTCAGGGCCATAGCTACTTGAAGACACTGAGGTCATGTCCTCACTGTTTGTTTGTTTGTTTGTTTTAAATTTATATTTGTATCATTACTGTAATTGTGTATGTTTGCATACATGTAAATGTACATAGGGGAGTTTACATTCTACAGATAAAACATCCTGGTGACCAAGTGGTTAAGGTTCATTACCATGTAACTGCAATATGTCCAGTTTGATTCCAGCTATGGGGTTTTTGTATCTTACATCTGTTTCTATACAGTCAAAAAAATAAATAGAATAGTTTGTCATTTTAGGGATTATGCTTATTTGTATTTTCCAAACTGTGGAAAGTATCAGATGAGAAGATGGATATCTATATCTTGTCTGTATGGTTAAAAAGAAGATGCAGCCAGTTAGCTTAGCACAAAGTTTGTAAATGGGGTCCACAAAATTCAGCCCCTCTAAAGCTCACTAAGTAAAATGTTATATCTCCTTATGTAAAAACAACACATGGTTGTACTAGGGGTTATGGGCTAGGCTAGTTGTATCCCCCTGTTTTCACTCTTTGTGCTAAGCTAACTAGCTGCTGGCTGTAGCTACATATACATATACCTATCCATACAATGTCATACACAGATTAAAAAGTGGTAACAATCTTCTCATTGTAAATGTTGGCAAAAGAACAGGTAAGCACATTTCCCAAAATGTCAAACTATTCTTAAAAAAAAAAAAAAAAAAAAAAAGTTTCTGAGGACAATGAGGGGCCTCATGACGTCATTATACAAGGCTTTAGCACTGCTGGTAGTGTGCTTCTTGTTCTCATTATCAATTGTTTATTTGTCTGTAAATCTTAAATAAAACTTATCAAAAGTATAAAAGTGAAATTATGTGTGTCTGAGTCATAATCATAACAAATATAACCAGATGTAAATACCCACGGCGTTTGACTACTTCCGCTTTCGTGACGCACAGCCTGAAAAGGGCCTAACAAACGAACTGCCTGAACGGACCAGCAACAACAAATGTTCAGTTCAATTTATTCAGCGTCACAACTTTGTGCTGAGTAACGCTCTTCCCAAACAATCAGTGTTTCAGTTCGATTCAATCCAATTCATTGTTTTAACCTATGCCTTCACCATACAAGTCAGCCATCTTCCCAATCAAACAGGATATCTGATAGAGTAAACTCTAAAACTCTGACGCTGTCGGACCTACCTCCGGTACCGGGTAGTTGAGTTCTTCTGCAAACAAGATGTAAGAGGACGAGGGTTCCTGGAGACCGGCATGATGAAGAGGAGGAGATCCGAGTACTTTATTTACTGGCCGCAGACTGCACACTGAGTCATGAGTGAGTCACTGACGCCATGTTTTTTTTTTCCGTCGTCCGTATTTAAATCCGAAATGGCGCCAAAACTGTCCAATCACCGCATTAGGGCAGTGTATAACTGTGCAGCGCTCCCCTCTGCTCGGTTTCTTCTCCTCCGCCTCCTGCTCAACCGTCTTTTACAGTTGTTTTTGTTTGTTCCCTACTATGGTTGTATTATTTCAACCTAATATGTCTGATAATCGGCCTACATCCATGTTCTCCAAATCGATTGTTCAACAGTTTACTTTTCAAATGCTGTTATTCATATGACTCGGCCGAGACTGGGCCCAAGAAATCCGGTGCTGTGAGTAGTTTTGCCGCTTTGTCCCGGGGACACAGGAAAGGAAAGAGTGAACCAGCAAACAAGAAGTCCAGCTGCAAGTGACACGAAATCCGTAAAGGAACGTTCAAAATTCATAAGCTGCAGCTAAAAGCCATGAACTGTACTGGAAGTGAAGGTAAAAGTCCAACAACAGCTGTGTATGAAGTTTAAAATAATAATAAATAATAATCAGAACATTCATAGAAATACAGTTGCTTACTCTTTGTGGGAACTGTTGGGTTTCTCTCTATAATAAAGTAGGTATAATGTTATGATTTGGCACTAAATGAATTGAATGAAAAGGGTTGGATTCTCCTTTAAATGCACAATCCATGATTATGACATAGTGCTCCATCCTCAAAGCATCTGGTGCAGAAAAATAACAGGCTAAAATTATACATATTAAAAACTCATTATAGAAGCCTGTTGGGGATTTTATTCAAATGATCATGTAAACTCAAAGATGAAAATGTAATTTTTCTAGGATGACACTGGACTTGACTTGATGAAATGAGCAAATCAGGAGAAGCAGTCAACAGGTTCTATTTCAAAGTATTTCATTTTTTGCTTGCAGTCAGTTAGGTGTGAGTGGTAATATTTCTACAAATAAAAGTGCACATACGGGTCAAATTCTATCATATTATCTGGAACAAACAACAACTATGAACAAACAACAAGTACATCAATACATTCTCACTTTAAATATATATGTGAGAACAAACCAAGGTGATTAGATGTAGCCTACTACTTAACAACAAAATAAACATGACTTGAGAAAATACAATAAAATGAACTAACTCAACACACTCAGGAACAAAGGTGAAATGATAGAGGGAAGCAGCTGAGCTGAAGGGCAAACAGAGAATGAGCTCAGGACACAGAACAAAGAACATTCAAGGCACCTGTGTGAGCTGCCCAGTTAGCACACCTGTTCTCCTGCTGCTCTTCGGTCCAGCAGTCATGTGACCCCACTTCCAACAGTATACATTATTATTTAAGTAAACATTTTTTTTTAAATGCCCGAAGTAACAGATTAAGTAACCTTAATTAAATTAATAAATTGATGAATAGCTACATACATGAATTGCAAGACTATAATTAATCTATAATCCAGTATTCATTGAAAATGTATTCTCGATCAGTTGTGGACTAGCAGTTAAACACCGATAACAGCTATTAATTGTGTTAATTTTTTTTTACACAGTTTGTTTATTTATTTAGCTTAGCTCTCCTTAAATGGATCGCTGCAGCCGGCACGTTTGTTCAAAACGCGCAACCCTTATTTTGAAGACGAGCTGTTTCTGTTTCCGGCTTTCCACTTCCTTGTTCAATTGTCATGGTACAAGTTGGATAAAAGAACAAACTGACGCTTTGGTTCGCTGCATTGAATTGCACGTCTTCATTTCAGTGGGACAATAACACACGCTAAACGTTAACAGCGTTTAGGCAGCATCGGCTAATGAATGACTCACGGACCCGTGCAATTGTTTTGTTTGGTTACCCAGCAGCAGCAGCAGCAGTACAGACATGACATCAGTCACATGATGCAGTCACGTGGTTATCAGGAAGCTGTGCTCTGTTTACCTAGGTGTCATCCATACACTGCGACACCGAGCAACCCCTTTTATTGAGATGAAATCCGGACACGCTTTAATGACATGATTTCACCCGCTGCTCGGTGTTTGTGCCGGTAACGGCTTCCTCCATCTTTCCTCTGTGATCGCCCAAGCGTCACCATGGCCTCTTCAAGTTACACTTGCATCCAGGACAGCGCCACAGGTTTGTTGGTACACCATTTCTGTTTCTCTCTCTCTCTCTCTCTCTCTCTCTCTTTCTCTCTCTCTCTCTCTCTCTCTCTCTCTTTCCCTCTCTCTCTCTCTCTGTGCTCCATTATTGTTCCAGATACTATATATATATATATATATATAGTATCCGGTCCATCTATTATTTTCTATGGGGTAGGGTCTTACGCTTCGATGTGATCTGTATTATTGGTCTTATGAATCAACAAAGGAAATGTTTACATCATCGTCAAAGAGCCCCGCCTGTTAGATCTCATTTTATTTTTTATTAATGTCCCCATTTGACACAATTTATTGCAAAGGTGAGTCAAAGCGTAAAGGTGCACTCCACATGATGTTTAATACCAGCCTGATGATGTCATCAGGGTGATCTCAGATTTGATTGAAAACCTGGAAGAAAATTAAAAAAAATAATAGTTTGTGTTAGAAGCTGGAGGTGTGGGGTTTGAAAGAAGAAAGCATGTCTGTAGAAAACAGATTATTTACCTCATTAACAGTTTGGTCTATAAAACATATTTAAACAATTACAAATATTTATCACAGTTTCCCAGAGCCCAAGATGAGGTCTTCAGATGTCTCATTTTGTCAGGCTAACTGTCCCAACCTCAAACATAAGACAAGGAAGAGAAAATAAAATTGAAACCAACAAATGTTCCTCATTTTTTAGTTGAATAAATTTAATTAAAGATGCTACCCTGCTGTAATGTGGGAAACCTTGGATGGGTTGTTTTTGGAGCGTGACCTAAACCAGAGATTAAACATCTATAACAAGAACTATAGTTTTTTAATGTGTCTTTATGTCCTCCAACTTTATGCAAGTGCCAAATTAAATCACATGATAGCCCTTTTAACATTTTACCAATGCCGATGTTTAAGGCTCATCCTCTATCCAACATCTTTGTGTTTCCCAGAGAAGGACAAGCTGCTCTCCTCTTTGGCCAGCTATGGGTCCCACGACCTTCTTGGGGGTGGGAGCTCCCGTTCCACTGGTGTGGTGGGCTCTGAGCTCCACCAGAAGCAGGAGGAAGAGGAGGAGGAGGGGGCCCTGAGGAGGAAACTCAAGTACTTCTTCATGAGCCCTTGTGACAAGTACTACGCCAAGGGCCGCAAGCCTTTCAAACTGGGCCTGCAGCTGCTCAAAATCATCATTGTGACTGTGCAGGTGGGTACAGCTTTATGCTTTAGTCTGACATATAAATTCATATTCATGTTATGCTGTTGAAGTGCTTTATTCTGACTGTTGTATCTTCTCTCCTGCTTTTACCTGATTGTTGTGTTTTGACGTTGACTCTCAGCTGGTGCTGTTTGGACTGAGCAACCAGATGGTGGTGACATTTAAAGAGGAAAACACAGCAGCGTTCAAACACCTTTTCCTGAAGGGTTATCAGGACAGCGTTCCTCAGGCAGTCCACACGCAGACGGAGCTGTACAACCGCATCCACTTTGCCATAGAGCAGGTAGCCTAATGCTAAAGTTGTATTTTCTCTTTTATCTCCAGCAGCATCTAGCCATGCAAATTGTTTTTAAATAGATTATATTTACTCAGGTTTAAATAATGTCTCTTATTTCTCAGAACAGTTTACACTATAATTATTTTTAATGAAGAAATAGTCCCTGTTAAGTCAGGTCTGTTGATCAGTGATTTCCAGCAGCGCATAAATACGTCAGGGAATGTGTAGAAAAGAATGTGGAGTAGCTTAGCTAATATGAAAAAATAAGAAAATTGGATTTGTTTGAAAATATACATATATATCCTTGTGTTTGTGTTCAGGAAGAAACTAAACATTCAAATAAGATAATACATTAGTGCAAGGTTGAGCTTAGTATATTTACTGCCACAATAGCCAATAAAGCACAATTTAAGAAAAGCAGACAGCACAGAACACACCTCCTTTACACGACTGTCTGCACTGAAGTGCTTCATAAATAAAGTGTCAGTTTCTTTCACTCAAAGTAGCAGCAATATGAATGAAAACAAAGAGTCTGTGGCAATGCTAGCTTCTCCATGAGGCTGCACATTGGTGGTGTGAGTGAAATGCTAACATGCTCTGAATGGCAGTGCTACCATGCTGTTTGCCATGTTAGCATGCAGACTTTTGCTAATTAGCATTAAATACAAAGCACAGCTGAGCCTGATGGGAACACCAGTATAGAATATGATACTTTTTGTTGGATTTTGGTCATCAAGCAAAGTATTGGACAAATGAAAGTTTTGACCTGACGTATTGGGAACCACTGCTGCAGAGAGACAGTTTCGCAATTCTTCAAAGACGCACTGCAATGTTGAGAGCACTGTATTAAAAAAAAAAAAACTCTATTGGGATGGACACAGAATCTGAATGAAGTATGGTTGAAGCTTTAAAGGTTTTTTTTAACCTTTAAAAGAAGATAAGATACCTGAGATAAGCACCATTACATGCTGCTGTTTTTTTGTTAATATGCTTCCAGTTCAGTTTTACTTCTTCACTTCTCTTTTCCCGTCCAGTACATGGCTCTGCCTCAGATCTCACTGGGGAGATACGCATACGTGTTGGGAGTCGGCGAAAACGGAACTGCGCTGTCCCTCTGCCAGAGGTACTACAGGAGGGGCACCATAGACCCCGTCAATGACACCTTTGACATCGATCCCCATGTTGTCACCGGTAGGACGGCCTTTCATGTTTCAGACTCCCTCTCCTCACATTCAGTTGGTGTTCAGTAAATCTGTCACTGCGTATTCGACAGTAAAAGCAACAGCCTTGGTTTTATCCAACGCTCGTATTTTATATTCCCTAGAGGAAATGACTGTGTCAGTGAGTCATTGTGTCGCTGCTCCTGATATGTGGAGAGGTGCCCCGCAACTCTGCCCTACTTTTAAAGGCTTTAAATAGTTCCTATCACAAAAAAAATTAGACATTAAAGGTTTTTTTTTTCCATAAACTCAGTATGTGGCTGCCTTGGGAAAGGGGTTATTTGCATACACCTGCTGATCCTGCAGATATGGCTATTGGCAGTGCATAATAAATCTTGTGGTAATAAATAGAGTAAGACATTCAAAAATCAATGTTAATCTCCACGGAGACGATTATGCATTTAAATGCTTTGAGGAAGTTTAGAGGTTTAGTTTAGGCTTCATGTGATGTGGAAAAAGACGATTGGTATAGTTTTTTAAAAAAATGCCTTCCTCGTGTGATTTTTTTTTTTTTTTTTCTAGTTCCTCTAATGCTATTTTCAGATTTTTTTCTTTTTCTTTTTTGTCCAGATTGCATCTGGCTGAGTCCACTGAATTACAGTCCTGGAAACATTGACTACAAGAATTTCACTCTCAAGTTTTACAAGTAAGTTGTTATTCTGTAGTTTTTTTTTAACATTAGATACTTAAACAAAAAAGAAAAAGGTTTTTCTTTTCTTTTCCAGTTTTAACTTTGCACATTCAGTTCTCTCTGTGTATCTCCAGGTTGATAAATGTAACAATCGACTTCAAGCTGAAGGCCATCAACATTCAGACCATTATAAACAATGAAATCCCTGACTGCTACACCTTCGCTATCACGGTGATCTCTCTCTCCTGTTATTTCTTTGCTTGACAGTGCAGGGCAGATAGAAATCTCTCCTCATTCAACTCTACATTTGCAGTTTTTTCCAAGTTGTATCTTAAAATGAGCGAAACATTGAGACAAGAGTTCAGATAAACTAATGCAGTCGTGAAAAAAAATGTCCACACCCAGAGGTTGTGTATTCACCCTGGTTCTTGTTTGTGCTCTCAGATCGTCATGGACAACAGGGCTCACAGCGGCAAAGTTAAGATCAGTCTACATAACCAGGCCTCCATAAAGGAGTGTAAAGACCCCAACGTGTCTGGACACGGTGAGTAGCTGGTGGTGGACGAGCTGCAGTGGACACATGATGGTGTGGAGATATTCACTCATCTGCCTCCTGATATCAACTCTATTATGTGTCGTTTTCTCAACTGCCTTTGATCCCTCTTGTTTCTCTCCTCCTCCGGCAGCGGAGAGCTATGCACGAGAGTTCTTCGATGTGCTGGTGGCGGTCGTCTGTCTGTTGTCCCTGCTCCTGTGTGGCCGCTCCATCCTCAGAGGCATCCTCCTGCAACACGTAAGAGAGCAGAACAAACATTTATACAGGATGAATACTTTATTCAACACTGTTTTCATAAAAAGAAATTGCTTCAAATGGGGACACAGGACCAGGACCAGAAAGAGAGAAAACATTTCACCTTAAAGTCCCTACATTAGTTACCAGTTTTTAAAGCACTTCATGGTCTTGCACCAGCATCAATCAGTACCGCCCCTCAGGTCCTCTGGCACAAGTCTGTTGGTTGTTACAAAGTGCAGGACTAAAACCTTCGGCGAGGCAGCTTTCAGCTTTTATGCTTTTATGGTCAAAGCCGATGGAACAGTCTCCCAGAGGACCTGAGAGCAGCCCAAAGGGTTGAAACTTAAAAACGTAAACTCAAAACGTACCTGGCTTTTCATTAAATATGGTTTTTAGTCATTAGTCACTTTAATTTATTCACTTATTTTATTGTAATTATGCTCTAAATTGTATTTTATTCTATTTTCTCTGCTGTAAGTGCTGTACAAATATAGTTTGATTGATACACACATTCAATCAGACCGTGCATAAGTGATTACATCCATGTTTAAAGCAGGCAGTTTTCTTCTTCTCTGCATCTTGCTGGCACATTGCTTGTTGCTTGGCATGTTACCACCACCTGTAGATCAGCGGAGCGGTGTGAAACCTTTGACAGGCGTACGTGTCCCGGTGTGGGAACCTCGTCATAAAAACATCGCTTCATGCTGCAGCTGGTGTTCAGAAAAACTCCACAACACTGTTGAAGAAACAATAGAAATTTGAAAATGACCATTTTCACACAAACTGCCTGAACAAAGAGTAGCATCATACACACGCACAAGAAATAAAGACTGCTGCTTTCTATATTGTTGTTACTGACAGCTTCTCATTGCATGGATCATCTCTCTTCCCAGGAGTACGTGCAGTTTTTCAAACACAGACTTGGCCGCAGTGTGAGCTGGGGAGACAGATTGGAGTTCATCAACGGCTGGTACATTCTGCTCATTGTCAGCGACGTGTTCACCATCGTCGGCAGCTTCATCAAAATTGGGATAGAGTCCAAGGTAAGACGGCTAATAACACGTTATTGTGAAGACTGCTCACTGTCTAGAAGAAGCTGTCGCAGAAAAAATAACAATCTCAGCCTGAAGTGAAAACTATGGGGTTTTTTTTCGGAGGTGCAGTTTCTGGAAATTAATGATGACTGTTGTGATGCAGAATTTCTCATCCTATGATGTGTGCGGTATCCTGCTGGGAACCTCCACTCTGCTGGTGTGGGTGGGAGTCATTCGCTACCTCAGCTTCTTCCAGAAATACAATGTACGTGAAAGACACATGCACAGATACGCACACACACACACACACACACACACACAGTAATGTTACCAGGAGATCTTTTTTTCCCCTCTTTATCTCGCGTGTCTGCCTCGCTGCTCTTTCTTTGAAGTGTAAATATATTTTGGTTTTTCCCTCCCGCTCTCGTTTTCCCACAGATCTTGATTGTGACTCTAAGAGCTGCTTTTCCTAATGTGATCCGCTTCTGCTGCTGTGCGGCCGCCATTTATATGGGATATTGCTTCTGCGGATGGATCGTACTGGGGCCCTATCATGCCAAGGTAGTGAACACACACTCAGCAATGTCTCAATACAGAAATGAGGCGGCATCATTCAGAGCAGAAGTATATGTCAGCCTGATTATCATAAACTGCCCTCTAGCATATCATCTTTGTAGCTATGTATAATGAGAGGAGAAAATTGACAATTAAATATGAATCACGACAACATTACTTTGGTTCACTATTTATGGTTTGCAATATTATGTATGTGTAATGTGTTCTGGTTAAAGGAGGGAAATCAAGCAACCTCACAAATACCAGCTAATAAAACCTAACCTATAGCAAAATGTATAAAATACACCACTACAACAACGTGTTTTGAATATATAAATGAACTTTTTAACACTGACCCCTTGTGTATACAGTTCCGCTCCCTGTCCATGGTGTCGGAGTGTCTGTTTTCTCTGATCAACGGGGACGACATGTTTGTGACGTTCGCTGAGATGGAGCAAAGCGGCACGCTGGTGTGGATCTTCAGCCAGGTCTACCTTTACACCTTCATCTCCCTCTTCATCTACATGGTGCTGTCCCTCTTCATCGCGCTCATCACCGGAGCCTACGACACCATTATGGTACAGCCTGTGGTTTGGTTTCGTGCTGTTTTTGTTTAGTCGGTCGGTCACTTGCTCCACCAATTTGGTCCAGACTGAAATATCTCAGCCAATAAATGGATTATCATGAAATTTTCTACGGACATTCACGGTTCCCAGACAATGAATAATAATGACTTTTCACCTGCCATAGATCAAAATATCAATATGTTTAATATTTAATTTATACCAAGTAACTAGTGACATTCCCATCAGCCTGTAGTTGTACTTTGTGTTTTGTGCTATTTAGCTAAACTAAGATGGTGAACAAGTCAAACATAACACCTGCTAAAACATCAGTACGTTAGCATTGTCATTAGCATTTAGCTCAAAGCAGTGCTGTGCCTTTCTGTGTTTTGAAACATGTGACGACACGTGAAGCAGCGATGAGGTTAACGTTGAGAAAATGTTGAGCTTGATGTTTGTCGTCCCACAGGCCCAGACACAGGAGCAGGTGCGCGTCACTGACCTGCACGCGTTCATTGCAGAGTGCACGGACACGCCCACCTCTGGCAAGTTCCGTGGGCCTGAGGGGCCGTCGTGCTCGTTCCTCTGCTGCTGTGACTGATGAGGAAGAGGAGGAGGAGGAGGAGGAGGAGGAGGGCGGGGATGCACAGAGGGAGTAGGCAGTGTATGTGTGGATGGAAGACTTTTTTTTTTTCTCTCTTTTAAAGCACCAAATTTCCACTCCAGTGATAGCTGACTGCAATTTCACTCCTTTTTTCCAGACACCCAGCAGGGACTGTAAATGCCTTGAGAGTGAACCGACTGACCTTGGACTACAGTGTCCTCTGTGTCCGTGTTTGAATTTTGCATTTAAATTTGTGCTGGAACGGTAGAACGCACTTCACTGTCACAAGCCCAATTACCTGCTTCAGCTTTTGTACCGTATGAATAATTTATTGTCTCTTTTTGAAATGTCAGTTTGTTATGGCTTTGATGAGTAGACACATTATGCCAGTAAACACGTTCATTGCTGTAGACTGGACACAGGGTCCACCAAGTAACACTGAATGCATCATGTACAGGGAAACATTATTTTTGTGGCTCTTGATTATGTTAATATATATATATAGTTGTCATCTGGATCTTCATAGCAGAGGTAGAATAGACACAAGAGACAGCCGGGCGAGCTGGTAAAAAGAGCCATCATAAAGTGCTGTAAGTGTGCATTAGCTTCGGCAGCATTGTCAGTCAAGGCTGGTTCGTCCATTCCCTTTCTCATTTTTCACCCCTTATCCCCTTTGTTCAAGTCCTCCTGTGACTGGAAGGAGATGATGGCTGCACAAGGAAGGACAAGCCCTGCAGGCAACCAGTTAGTCATCAATATGTATGAGCCGTTTCTGCTGTAAAGAGCCAGGTGACTGCACGCTAATGCCCTGCAAGACAGAGCATTTTCACCATTTGGTTTAAAGTGCTCCATTCAAGCATGCAAAATAATATTCTAACGAGAAAATCAGGATTCAAACAGTGTCAAGTGACGTTTGAAGAAAAGTCTGCCGTAGTAGAAAATTTTAGGATTGACACATTGTGCTAGATCTGCATTAACTACAGAAACTAATGTTGAGATAAAAGGGTTTGAAGGTTTTCAGCTTTCAGACAGGTTGTAAAACCTTAATATTATGTATTTTTATGCTGATTATTAATCGTAGTTGTTATAGACTTTACATAAAACCTGAACGCATTTTAATACTGCACTCAAAATGTTGTGAATCCCACTAGAGTCACGTCTTTTCACTACAGTGGATGGTTGCTAAGCTAGGCTAGTAAGAATTTAGCAGGACTAATTCATCTGGTGTAACTTTTTTTCTCCATTATGATTTTAGATTTAGCTACTGTCTTATTTATAGGTTATAAAAAAAAATGTGGGTAATTAGCTTTAGCTAAGGCTGTTTAGCCAGCTAGCCTTAACTAGCCACTGCAGTTTGGTTTTTACTTGTGAATTATTCATGCTGTTTTTATCCCAGAAAAAAAAGGTATAATAGGTTTTATGGAAAGGTACGATGTCAGAAGTCAAATTCCTCACTCAGCTCAGTTTTAAGTGTCAGACTTGGACGCTGTCATTGCTCTGACACTGAAGCCATGTGTATGAGGTTAATAACTCATTCATTTTATTTGTGAATGACTTAAGGGCATCTCTACAAACCAGCAGTTCTTCATCAACGCTTTTTAAAGATATCCCTGTTACTATGGAAACTTACTGAAGTGGTAGTGTCATTCCAGCGATGCTGTGTAAGGTCAAATGAAGGGCATTGTTCAATAGAAGAGAGACATTCACTGTAGAAAAATTTGCATCAGGATAAAAGGGAACAAAAGGATTTCAGATGCTACATGAATGTTTGATGCTTTTGTATTTTCTTTTTTTTTTTGTTGTTCAATTGCTTTCTGACATGTTTACTTAAATTAATTGATATTGTTTACAAACACAACAGGTGGAGCATGTGTTTTCTTTTAAAGAGGGTTTATTTACGCACTTACTTATTTGCACTGATGTACAGCTTCGTTTGATTTAAATGTGTCACATGGGAGCCATATAGCACAATGGAGCATGGAGCAAAGCACTGTGCATGTTATGCATCGGTTAATGTTCTCCTGACACTTCTGGGAAGGTTCTTCAATGCAATTTTGATTTAGTGGGAACAGTATTATTGCTCACTAGCTCTGTTTACTTATATTCTGTATGCTGTCTTAATTATTTTACCTCAATAGCTAAAAGGAGTTTATCTGTTACTGTATTGGAGGAAGTTGTACAGGTTTTTACCCTCATTTGTAGTGAATCTTTTCTGTGAAGATGCTGCCTTCTGAATGAAAGTACACATCAGCAAAATAAACTGGAAACACTGAAACTGTCAAGATCAAGGTTTTTCTTTTCATTTATTTTCTGTTCCACAGTTTTAGTGGTCAATTGATCAAATTCTTCTACTATCTATAATACTATCAATAACATGTCCAAGTATTATTCACTTTAGTTTCTATTTCCACTGGTATGTTTAAAAATTAGTGTTCAAATAAGTTCATTTATCAACCTGTTGCCAAAATAGCCAGAAAAAAACAGTTTCTTCATGAGCCACTAACCAGTGGTTCAGTCGAGTGGTTTAGAGACATTTAACACAAGGGTGAAGATTAACATTTGACATTTTAAAATGCAGTATGGAGCCAAAAAATGTTCAATATTAAATACCAAAACATAATACCTAAAATTATATATGTATTTTAAACAATTAGATAATAAATGTTTTATACATTTTATTCCTTTGATTATTTACTATTTTTATTCATTTATTTTTGGACACTTTGGGGGCTCTGTACCATGTTAACAGAAAGGCTGAAAACATAGGAGATGTAGCAGTTACCCACTGCATACATTTTTCATGAACTTGGGTGTGATGTGATAGGACGGTTAAGAAAATGGATGAATGTAATACAAAGCTTGGATCTCATGAAGCTGATGAGACCCTCATATGTTGTGGTAGTGTGACACCACTAGAGGGAGAGAGCAGGCTCTGTCTGGAGCCACCAGCAAACCAATCACAGGAAATCAATTCAGTCCAGAAGCAATAATGAAATGAGAGGAAGCTAAAACACAGGCACACTGAAGGGGGGGGGGGCTGAAACATTAAGAAAGAGAGGGGTTTGCTGCCTTCATTAAAGATAAATAATGCTGAGACGCTGTATAATTAAAGTACTCAACCTTGAAGTCTGCCATTATCACAGACTACCTCACTTCTCAACATAAGGTAAGTGGAGGCAGAGTCGGGCTGCGCCAGCCAAAGAAAATGCACTTTACAAGAAGATGCAATTGGATGAAAATGAGAGAGCATAGGGGACAGACAAGATCAAGGCAGATATGCGCACACTCAGTCCTCTTAGTGCGGTGGAGTGGTATAGTTGTCCAATATCCTTAGTACCAGCATCCATTATTTACCCAAGGAGGCTACCAGGGCTGAGATGAAGCACTTAGAATCAGACTGACAGGAACTGGCCGTTCTGCTCTGGACATCATCAGGTTTCAAGGCAAAGCTGATTAAACCGTCCCATAGAGAAAACACACTGGCATGGCCTTGCAGCTGGTTTCTAGCTCGTTAACTGCATTAACGGGGCGACTCACTACTAATCCTTGATTAAATGACTAGAGTGAAAATCAGAAGGAATCTGAATCCCGAGGACACAGGTTACAAGGTTATTAATCTGTGGTTAGTTTTATATATATATATTTATATATATACTGTGTCTGGCCCGCATACTGCAGAAGAACATACATGACATATAACAGTGGTCCATTAATGAGGTTCCACTGCATTATCTGTGCATCTTTCTTCACATGTTGCCGGTCACTGAAGCAACCTGCATGTTAATAATATGCTGTGCTGGCATGTTGCACTCTTTAGGGAGTCCATGCTGTGTAAACGGAGCAGCAGCCGCACCGGCGTGTGCTAACCTGCATCTGCCTGGTATTCATTCACACACACACAACCATTTTGTGAGACAATGATATTCATGTTAATAGAGTGTGAAGTGTTACGCATGGTGATACCTCTCATGCATTTTGAAGCCACTTGTGTTAAGAGGGGTTTGATTTGTGAATATCTCCACAAAAAGATGGCGACTGTGTCTGATGCGATGGGTGTGTCTCTCAGTGCCAGCTGCTTTCTTGTGTGGCTTGGCTGGCTAGCGTGAGATTCAGACCTGTTTACAATCTGACTGTACATGCTGGAATACACAAAACACAACAAGAGCATGCCACTATGTGCTGCCTGATAAATAACGAATGTGTTGCCTAAGAGTTTGTCAAAGGTAGAAGATCCCTGACTGGAGGCCAGGTTGAAGGGCTTGACTGAGTGCCAGCCCTTTTGTGCTGTGGCTGCCCCAGCTGGACTGCGGGCCAGGGGGAAAAAACAATGAGATAAATAACACGGGAACTGTGCAGCGGGGTACACAGCCCTGCCCCTTCCTGTCTCCGCTGCTGCACACCACCGCCCGTGTGAAAAAAACACCTTCCTCTCTTTGTTGCGCCTGTTTGACCATGCCAATACGTCCATCAGCATCAAGCCAGCAGGCATCGAATCCCCCGGAGTCCCCACCCTCTTCCTGGTCTCCTTCCATGTCTCTAATACGCTTGCACACACACCTGCATGCACACAGCACCATCACATGTTCACACAATGAAATCCACTCACAGCTACTGGGCTGTATGTGGGTGCCATTTTCAACTCTGTACAATCTGACCAACTATTTGAATAACTTGATTAATCCTGCAGATATTTCTGTGGGTATCACTTGACCTTCAATTATGATTCAACAGAAAGACAAGTGGCATTGTTGAACGGCAGATAACACTGAGTGTTAGGAATTAATTGATGGGAGGTGCAGGTGAGTAGCCTGAGGTCAGTCCACTACAGAGGTGCACAAACAAAACTTCCTTTGGAAATCTGACTGAGAGAGATAAAGAGTGACATGATATAACATGTTTCTTTTGTTTTGTTTTGGGTTTTTTTTTTTACCAGTCAGGTGCATTATATACAGTGTAAGTTTTTCAGTTTTGTACCGTATGTTTCCACCTTGAGCTCAGACAAGCAATGCAGAGCCAAATCTCCCCTCTCCAGCATTTGGAAAGAGAGGAGTGCACCACAGGCTCGACATGAAAAGAAACCCATCCAGTACAGACCAGTACACAAAAGCCTGGCTCATGTAGACAGGGGCAGGCGGCTGCTGAGAGCTGAGCAGCAGTGCAGCAGACAGACAGGCAGACAGGCGGCATGCCCTCCCAGACTGTCTCTGATGATAAGCCCCGTTCTGGTGAGGAGCATGGCACACCGAAACAAAAGCTTTTAAGCCATGTAACAACGCCCCTCAGCGTCTAATTGTGACCGAGAGAAAACGCACGACTTAACCGAAAAGGCTTGCAGACTAACTGCTGCTCCTTGACTTACTTATTTTCTTGCTGGAAAGCTCACACTTTTCAATTAGTTTCTTCCAATTTCAGCTCTGTTCATTCATCTCTGTGGCAGACTATAGTCACAGGCAGGTGCACATGTTGAGCTGCATGTTTTCTAACAGCCTTTATAGCCTATAATCTGCAAGGCCTTCAATCTTATGTACATATTAGTAACATGATTACATCCTAATTTTGATCAAAAATAATCTTAATAACATTGTTGCAATCAACAGGTCTGAAATGCGTAGAGAGATTTCCAATCCTTGATGCAACAGTCACACTGACAGCAGACAATGCAGGCAACTTGATGCATGTGGGGCAGCAGTAATGCACAGTTTAAGAGTGAGTGTGTGTATGTGTGTGTGTGCAGTCGTGCATGGAGAAAAGAAGAAAAGGGTTTGAAGAGGAGAGAAAAAGGGGTGCGGGGGGCCTAAGAGGGAGGGCAACAGACAACCAAGAGGAACTCGGGCAATAGAGTAGGGTGACTTGCAAGAGGTGACATCATCCTCAATTTGAATAATCCCCCAGCCTGGGAGGTGATTGGCTGCTCTTAGAGAAAGCAGAGTTCCCCTGCTATTCGCTATTCACTCCTTTCAATTTGAGCATGGCGGGCTGTGGTGGTGAATGTTGCCTTCATGGACTTGTAGTAAGCTCCTATTTCAGGAGTTGAAATTTGTAACAAGAAAAAAAAAGGAAGTTGTTTTTTTTCTTTATCTTCCCTCAGGATATGTAGTGTGAGGATGCGTTTTAGGCACACCAGACAAAAGCCAAACCACCATTCCACCCTCCCTTTCAGCAGACTGCTGGGGAAGAGAAAGGGCGTAGGACACCACCTTCATTAACATTATGCAAATTACAGCAGTGTTTGCTCATCTTACCAGGCTAACAATATTTGTTTTGTTCTCAGTCAGGCCTCTGCTGAAATTGATCTCGATTTACTTTTCAGTCTTCTCACACCCATGACTGACCAGCTTGGCAGGGCGGATCCCGGAATCCACACAAAGACATCTCTAATGGCAGAAAATTAGACTTGTCAAACAGGTGTAAATGATAACATTATGTAATAACAGACACACTCCATGTAGGTGTGCCAATACCTAGCTGGGATTAACCTGCAATGGATCCTCCCTATTAACACCCCATCCTTCCACAATGTGCATATACATAGCATTTTAATTACACTAGTCCTAAAGGTTGAAACACCAGCTAGGCTACTCCTGTTCAGGAAGCACATTTCACTGTATATTGTGCTTTAGCAGCACATATTCCTAAATAAAATTGCAACAAAAGGGACACATTGGGTCAGTTCACTTGTAATGGTTAGTGCTAAAAGCAGGTGTAAAGTGTTTTCTGTGGCTCTGCCGGGAGCTTTGTAAAGAGCTTTGTAATTGTTTGGTCAATGAAATGTTAGAGATTAGTGAAATTGTACCAGAGTATTTCCTGGCCGGTAATTTCCCTCAGCCTCCACCGGTTGTCTGGCCAGTGCTCCCAGCCAAGAAATAGTCTGGCACATAATCCCAGTAAATCCCAGTGTTTTTACACTTTTGTTTTTTGTACAGATTAGACAAACAATATGTAATGTATTAAAGTCTGGATGTTTCCCCCTGTTTAAAATCTGTATGCTAATCTAAATTAACTGGCTGTGGGCTAGTCCCATGATAAACAATCTTCTATTCTTACCAATAAATAGAATAGACATAGTTTACAAATTGTTGAGTTATTCCTTTACATTATTAATGAAGTATCATGTAATTTTTTAATATTTTTTTTTGTAGATCGATTTATGAACCCGTATTTTAATTTCTAACACTGACACACAGAGAACCGGAGAACTTTTAGGGGCCCACCTTCCCTTTAGGACCCTGCTTTTTTACATTCTGACGAATTAATGTTGAATTTGTACTGTTACACGAGTTCGATATGATAATGGGTCTTTCATGTGTAGCCCTTTCATTATTCCCAGTTTTTCCAACAGCACCTGAAGGCAGCGGCAGCCCTCTCCTCTCCTCCGCCTGTCCATCCATCCGCTTACCGGTCTACTATCGTGAATGTGTGTGTGCGTGTGTGTACGTGTGTGTGTGTGTGTGTATGTGTGTGTGTGTTGAGTGTGGACTGAAGCGTCATTCTCCTCCTTTCTTCCTTTCAGTGAACGCGCATCACTTGTGAAAAACGGCGCTCGAGACGCAGAAGTTTTCTTGTCTGTCGGCTCGTCTCCATTCGCTCCGCTCCGCTCTCCCGCGATTTCCTTCCGTACTTCCCGGTTTCATTTTTATCCTCATCCTCACTTTCTGTTTTTTTTTTCTGACTCGAGGATTCAGTCGGGGTGTACTGGCTAACACTGGGCGTAGCTGGAGAGGATTTTGCTAGCTCGTCGCCGCACTGACTGGTAAGGGCGAGATTGTTTTAGCTGTGGCTAGCATGCTAACGTCAGTTTGAACTACTGTTTAGCTAATTAACGTTCATTAAAGCAGGTTTTTAAATTAACGTTACATCTGTCGTCAGTTACAGACGTTAGAGTCTCAGTTGTACTTACCACGTTATCACTTGTGGTTCCTAATTCCAAGCAGTGCATCGGAATTGTGGCTCTTTGTGTGAATGAATATTTTTGCTAAATATGGTTCTCGTAACTGTTTTGTTGTAGTGTCACTATATCTTTTGTCGATGAGCCACCCTGCTTCAGATTCACTCTGATTCCTGAGGAAAGGGGTTGATGGGGCGGTGGCAGACTGCATGGTAGCTGGAAGTGCTCAGCGGATCGGTTAGGTCAACCTAAAACAGATAAATTGTTTCAATTAATACTGTATTTTTCATTTACATGACGTTTTTCCTGATTGTGTGACCATTTTGTTTGCCTTTTCCCTCCTTAAACTTTTCATTCTTATCTCCCCTCCTTCTCCATCCTCCATCACGGATGCCCATTGTTCTGCGATGGGCCAAGTGGTGTGCGTGAGTGCTGAGAAATGTTTCAGCTGCCTTTATAATTTTACAGTTTGCCCACTCAGTTTTCTTGTCAACTAAACAGAATAACCTTAAGGGCATTTGTGGCATGTTAAAGCAATAATTTTCCTCAGACCTTGGAGGGAGTGAGTAAAGCAGAAATATCTCTGAGAGGGCTGTGCACAGACTCAAGCTGGCATGTAATCAGAGGTGATTAATGTCACCCCCAAAAGTGATCAGCTATTGTGGTGTGAGAGTTAAGGCTGGAGGGGCCCATAGCTGCTCCTTCCCTGAGTCTTTTTTGGTGAGTGAGTGCAACAAGACAGATTACACTCCCCTCTGTAGAACAATGGGGAGGAGAAAACACTGCCAGCTCCCAAAGCCTGGCCAACAGCATTTAATAAACGGCAAACATGCAAGCATTGAAAATCTTTATCCTCAGCCCACAACTCTATTCCCTTCCCCTGAGGTGCTGCAGACAGCGACATAAATTGTCTCAAGCTTTGTGGCCACAGTGGGCACGGCTCTTTCAATAATGTGCGGTGATCGACCATGTGGTATTGATGTCATCCTGAGTAAATGGCAACCCAGGGCGACTAATATGAGGGCTTGGATTGGAGACACTCCAGTACTCTTAAGTCAGAGGTGGGCTAAGCCATCAGCTAGCCCCCCCACCCCCCACCACCTTGCGTGGATGAGAGAATGGCTGACTCACAGTGTTGGTGGATGAGGCAGGGAAATGGAGGACAGGCAGCCTAATGCAATCATGTGAAATTAAATTTAGCTGCCATTAAAAACCACCCTCTGTTTTTATGAAGTTATTTAAGATGGTCTTAAAAGATTATTAGATGGAGGATGAAGATGCCAGAGGCGTTCTGTTTGTGAAGAGGTTTTGTCTGAAACTGCACTTGAACAAATGAAGCTGATTATTATAATTGAGAAAAAATATAAAAAATGGCTGCAGTAATGTACTTTCCATTGTGGAGTGGACTGTGGTTAGTTTCCTCTTTGTTGCTGTGGGTCTTTATGACGATGTATCACTCGCTCTGTTGGAAGGGCTAGAATCAAGGGTGTGATTGTCTACAGTGTTAGCTGCTCAGTGCAATAAGAATGAGATCGCACTACCAGTGTCTGAAACAATCTTTCATACATTTAAAAAATAACTACTATTACTGAAATTGTGATTAGCTTAATCAATGGCTATTAATCCGTTGTAATTGTGATAATGGCTAATAATCAATTATTTAGTAGATTTTAATTAATGATATTCAGAGTAATATCTAATAACAAATACATTGTGCTTATTGGCTCGTAAAAACAAAGAGTTGTTAGATTTTCTTTGATTTATGCCATTTTTAATTGATAATTTGGTTGTGTTAAAGCATCAGTTTGGGCTCTGGTAAAGATTTAAATTTTTCATTGTTTTTCACATTGACATTTATGTTCCCAGTGATTTCTTAATCAATTAGTTGATCAACAAAAAATTTATCTGCAACTGTTTTGATAGTCAGTTAGTCATTTCAATCATTTTTCATGTGAAAATGCCAAAAAAGTCAGTGGTTTCAGCCTATAAAATGTGAGAATTTGCTGCTTTTCCTTGTCATACATAATGGCTAATTGAATTTTTTTTTTTTTTGGTTGATTCTTTTTTTTGACATTTTATAGACAAAACGGTTAATCAAGAGAATGTTTGGCAGTTTGATTGGCATTTTCAATAATGAAAATAAGTGTTAGTTGCAGTTCTAACAGCTGCACAATGAGAGCCACCACATTAATTCAGATTTACATTTTAAGCACACCAGCAACATGTCTCTTCAGTTGCGATTATTCTATGCAGAACCTACTTAAAAATTGCCATTGAATAGTTTCACATTGAATGACTTTCATAAGCTTGTATTTTAGGGCAATTTAAATTTTAATGACCTATTTTGCCCCCAGCTGGCTGCTGGGGGCAAAATAGGCTGCCTCAGTCCTGAGAGGGGCGATGATTGTTGCATTAATAGACCTGTGTGTCAGATTGCCCTTAGCCTCAGGACTGGTGTTGGGGTGGGTGTGTGACTCAGAATGAGATCTCCCCAGATCTGAACTTCTCAGTTGTGACAAGGGCAAGCCTGTGCCTCTGGTCATCCTCAGGCTTTTTTCAGCCTGAACCCGTGACCCTTGCACTTTTTGGCGTCATTAAAAATTACCACCATCATCTCTGGCCCTGTTTTAAGTCGTGGAAACAACTGCACAATAGTTTCTTGTTTTGAGGTTATCAAGACACCAACAGAAACTGTGTGTTTGGCTGAATTTCCTCCTCTGTTTTCTGGGCGATTGAGCCTTGAGGAAACTGCCGGCGGCAACACAGTGAATTTGCACAGTGAAGATAAAGCAGATAAAAACTTTGCTGTTGTGCTCTGTGCTCGCAGTCATGATAGCAACCACGGTCGATGGTGTCACAGTTGTCAGGGCATGCAGTTGGCAACTGACGGCATGGTTTTGAGGCTGTATTTGCCAGCAGCTGCAGTAATTTGCTGTGTTTGGACGCTCTGAATTCCTCTGGTGGGAGGATGGATAATGGATGTGGTTCACAGCCCTGTTGCTAGGCTTCAAGACCAAATTTTTCATGGCACAGTTTGGTAGCAGTGGCTGATTGTTTGGTGTAATGCAGCCTTGGAGATGGTAAATATAGGGCCAAAAATGACGTTTGCTATGTCAGTCATTAAGTTTGCTCTACTACCTGTGGCAGACAGATATTGATGTCAGTGGCCCCCTCTTTACATTGGCATCGCTGTACATTTGCTGGTCTGGCCTGGTGGCTGATGTGGTCGGAGGCTACCCAGCCTGCCCTCACTATAGCCGTGTGTGGAATGATGGGCATTTGTGCCAGACACTGGTGCTGACAGAATGATAGACTCCCTTCACCATAGGCAGCTGTAGGGACCACTTTGTTTCTCTGTCATATCCATTTCCGCTGGTGACATTTAAATCTGGCCTGGTTCAGTGGATTTGTTGGCTGCCACAAAAATACATCATCAACTCTCTGTGAAGTGCTAAATGTATGTCTTTATGGTTGTTGTGGATGTGATTTTAAAAAAAACAACAACTGTGTATTAAGGCCATTTGTGTGGTTTGTGGTTTAGTTCTTGGAAAGCTGTAGTTAGTAGGTGCTGGTGTGGTCAACCATCCAACCTATCAGCCCTCCTGCGAGGGATCAGATTCCATCTGGAACGTGCCTTGTTCTACTTCAAACCGGAGGACATAATCCTCTTATGGCCACAGTCGTTCAACTTGTGCGTGTGTCCGTGTCCCTCGTGCAAAGTCTCGAGAGAGCTCCGGAGCCTCTCGGGTGTGTTTCTGCCATCCTGTCCAGATGCCTCGGTTCTGCCCTCTTCCTCCATCTCTGTATCTGCTCTATCTGGTGTCAATGATCCAAGCCACCAGCTGGTCCTGGGCTGGCCTGATCTCATTTACCCCCAGAGAGGAGCTTGTTTGTGGGCAGACGGCCCATTATGGAGATGATCCAGCAGCTCTTCAAGTTACAAATTAGCCTTAGTTTCTCTGTTGGGTCCTCTGTCTCGCCTCTTGTCTTGTTGTTTCTTACTTGTTTTCTCTGTCTCTGTCCCTTTTTACCACCCCCCCTTATGTTATTGTCCTCTCCTATAACCTTGTCACTGCTATCTCTCTTATCTCCCAGGGGAGAGGACTAACAGCATCAAGGGGAACCTGCCTTACTAATGCACTTCCTCTGTCTATCTGTTTCTGTCTCTGTCCTGCCCATCTGTGGAGCTGCTGTCCCGCCTCCCCACTCTCTCCTGTGCGATCAATATCCACACAGCTTAGCTCTACGCTGCCCTGCTGGTCGTCCCTGCAGGCAGTGGAGCTCAGCCAGGCTGTAGTAGGGCCCGCGTGATGGGGCCTTGTTTGTAGTTGGGCTCTGTCTCAGCTCTTATTGTTTTGGGGCTGATGGACCCTATAGCCCTGCCTCCCCACAGTATTGTCTAGTTTCTGGGACATACTGAGGCCTCTGTAACTGCTACGTATCCCTCCCTCATTCTTTCTTGTCTTTCTTGGGCTTCTCTCTGTTCCTCTTTCTCTCTCTCCCTGTAGCTGTGTCTGTGTAGCTACTGTTTGAGGACAGTCGAGGCCGACTGTACAAGATTAGCATCTCTCTTTGTCCAGGGTTAACAAGCTCTGTCATGTGTTAATCTGCCTGTCCCCAGGGGGCCGAGTTTCTCCGAGCCTGGATGCACCATGGGAAGGACAGGGTTCGAGTGTTTTGTATGTGTTTTGTATGTGTGTTTTGTGTGCATCAGCTTCTTTGGTGTTTGTTGTAAAGGGGGGGGGGGCTAAACTGTGATGGACATAGGAATTCTCCATCATCTGTGGTGATCCTACTCGCTTTTTGCTCATGGTTTTTTTTATTTTTTTTATTATGAAATGAAACTCAATTAACAAAGAGGTATG